ACTTTACTTTAAACAGTGTTATTTCACAAGTCTGTTTAACATCAATAAAACTCAAGATAATTGATTTTGGAAATAATCAGGAATGTTTTGGCCTTTAACCTCGTGCTCTCTGACTGTTTGCAGGCGTACAGTATTTTCCACCTGTTGAAAAATCCTTATTTCATCAAGGCCTATAGATAGATAGATCAACACAAATACACAAGGAAATTTTTACAGCAACTTTATAGCCATCCTTTTGTCTTATAAAAGCTTGAAGCTCAGTAGATTTTGTCATATCGCTCATTGTTAAAACTGTCTTTGTCTTGATGCTACTTTTCGACATAGGAGAAGTATGTCGGACAAAAATATTCACCAAAAAATAAATGTTTCTTTGCCAGCTTCAATAACGACAGGGGATTAAGTTTAGATGATAAAACAAAGGATTATGTTCACAGAAATACCCTAGGTGTAGTACATTCGTTACATGAGGTCACGTAACTCGGGTAATATTCACGGCGAAAATTTGCACATTTGAGCGCTCGAACGAAAAAAGTCATTTCTCAAAAACGAAAATATATTTTCACAGAAAAACTACACCACAATTATTAGAACATAATGGGCTACAAAATATGAAAGTAGAAGTGGAAACAAATTTGGGTGACTTGCCGCTGTTTGTTTGATACATGCTGACATTAGCTCTTAAGATGTTTTCTACGATATCTTTGGCAATGCCTTGCATTATCAGAGATGATGAATATAGATTATAAGATAAAACTGATGTGCAAATAGAAGCAATCTCCTCTCGAAGTATGGACATTCCATTGCAAAAAGAAAACGTTATCCAATCCTGAATAAACGCAGCAGTACTAAGAATTAGGCGGAAACACGGACGCATTCCCTCTAGAAAATTGTTGACAAAAACACTGAATTGGCTTGCCTCGAATGACTCTAATATCAAGTAGGTTTTGTAGAGAGTGCCTCAATTCATTTTCTAGGCAAGTTCCCTAATGGCGAGAAGAGCTAGTTTTCGCGACTTGTTTTTCGCAAAAGATGTTTTATATATCTATCTGACCCATTTTTTTATCCAGGAATTTTAATCCCGTATAAACCGCTGCTATGATCAGCGACATGCAGAGTATCCCTTTTGTTTTGCAAGAAGTTTTTCTGAAAATATCTCGAGTTTGATATCCGTTGTGTCCTACCCATGTCAAAAATGGAAATGTTGGATGTAAATTCTACCACAGATTATCAACGGGAAATTATCTACAATCCCCCACTAAAGGTAAGTCAACCGATCGGCCATTGCTTTTGTAAACCTAAATGGCGATAGGAACACTCGGGAAGGAGAGACCAAGCGACAGCAGTTTACCATGCTAGAAGATAAAAGCGGCAGAGAACTAGCGACATACATAGACTAACCTCCGATTTCTCCTAAATCAAAAAGATTTTGTAGAAGGGCTTCGAGCTACTCGAATATCATCACGAAAGTAAAAAGTGCCTCAGTCTAATTTCGATGTAAGTTCCATGATAGCAAATAAGGGTCTGAAGAATTAGTTCTCTTAGCGTGCCTTTTCACGAAGGTTGTTCCATGAAAAATTTTATCAACGATCTCTTCCCAAGCTTAAACAACCAAATGGAAACCTCAGTCATCATAAATGGCGATAGGAACACCCGGGAAGGAGAGACCAAGCGACAGCAGTTTACCATGTGGAACAGATTGGATGCTCGACGATAAAAGCGACAGAAAACTAGCCACAATGTGATCTCTCAACAAAGATTAGACAACCAACTGAAAAATAACATTGGATCCCAGCCTAAATAGTCCTCAAAAAAATAGTGAAATAGCAATCCACATTACTTTTCTCTCCATTTTCAATAGACGGTAGAAGTCGGTTAGGAAACACATCAAGTTCTAATAAAGTATAAAGGTAAAGTTGCACACATGCCAAGAAATGAAGTAGCTAGTGGACTAAACTTGAACTAAACTGAGCTCTAATTATGTGCACTTTCATTTCTCTCCTTATAGGTTTCAAAGGAGCCTAGATGATATTATTCACATATACACAAACTAACCTCCAATTCCTCTCGGATCAAGTAAATTGTGTAGAAAAGGCTTCAACTGGTGGCGTGCGAGTGCCTTTGGATTAGTTCTTGTATTCTAACAGAGAATGCTTTGTGCTTCTCCTTGACCTATTCTTCTTAGGGCATTGATAATTGGTTGAAATGAGACATGTGAAACCGGTGTAACCTGACTGAAAGGCTGATATCGATTTCAAATTTCCACGTAATGTAGGGGCAGGTAATTGTCAAAGTCCACCTTGTGATGTTAATCGAGTTTCCTGCTTCGATTTCAGGTTTCTTAAAAAAAAAAAAAAGGCAAGAAAGTGAACAATAATATAGGCCCATCTACCCTTAAAGGGGACTCGATAACATTCCCCCCACCCCTCCCTTCTTGGAACGTCAACTAACCGTACTAGAAAACTTCATCCCTTATTTTCCCAAGCAGAGTAAGCTTATTTAGCTCATCTTAAACTTGTCTTTTCAAAGACGTAAGTATAGACCTCTTTATTGCATCGCTCGACGAAGTATTTGAGCCATTAGAGGCTAAAAAAAGGTTTTATCGATTCAAATAACAAGCGGTAGTTGTGAGCTGCCTTTCTTGCTTCCAGTATTCCTTGTGTGTAAAGCCAGCTTACTAAATAATTTTGAAATGGGAGGTGTCTTTAATAGATTTTAAGCACATTTGAAGGCCATTTAATAAAAGTCAAGTCTTTCTTCACGTGACCGATGAGGTCCTTTTTTTAGACTGGTTTTGCGAAGAAAAACAATTATCTAGCGACGATTTTGGGAACGCTCACTTCGCAATCCCGAAGATGTAGTTCTGGTCTGTTTCCCTGGTTTGAATGGCAAGGAAATTGGTCCTGGCCTGTGGTAGAACCACGTAGAAGCCTCGGCAGAGGGTTTTTGCTTGTGCCTTTATAAATGTATGGCACAGTTCGTCGATGTCGCTCTTGCTTTTCTCAGCTTTTCTTTTAGACTTTTTCTATTCTAATTCCATTACGGAGAGGAACCCAGCGCTTTGGAGGTACGTATACCATCAATGAATTTCTTAGAATTCAGGGTAGGGATCAAGGTGTAGCCGACTGTGACTGCGGCAGCTTCTTGAACTTTCGCTTTGTGGTCTTTAGCAATTGCATGTGCCAAATTTAATTAAGCAGCAGCACACAATGCAAGGGCAGTGTTTTTTCTATTTTCATTTTAATAAAAGATCACTTGCTTTAAAACAGTCATAAAAAAAGGCTTTAAAATAATGGAAAAAGGGGCAGGCATCTCTAGGTCGTGGTTTTCGTCAAAGGGGACTGAGTTTAGTTGTTCCATAATCGATGAAAGGAAAGCTGCTGTTTTGTTCATCACTTCTTGATGCAATAGGCATTATTTAAAGGTGGCTGAGGAAAGATAGGAAAGATTGCACAAACTATACATTTATGGTAAGAATCAAACAAGAGGATTGGTTGGAGTTTGCACGTATTGCTTTGAGATGTTTGCGACCCTGGAATTTTATGCTAATATTTTTTCTGCGAAAAGTTAGGATGCCCTGAGGAAAAATCGGCTCATCCAGGTAGCTTAATTCCTTGACAACTGATGCAATCCTCGATCGGTAAGTGCTGGTGGGAAAGTGCCTGCAGAGCTAGTTCCCTCGGAGCATTTTCCCACAAAAATTGTATCATTTATCTATCTGACTTATGAATACAAGTATCTAGTTGAAATTATTCGATTTTGTTTTAAGGAGATGAATGAAACAATTAGCTGATCAAAGTCCACTTTGTGACGCAGGAACACAATCTAGATTTGTTCTTAGTTTCAAGGAAGTAGAGGAGCAACGGCTGATCAAAGTCCACTTTATAGTGAAACACGAGAATCTAATTTCAAGCTATATAGAGCACATACTATGATAGCAGCTACAGCAAACGACCAACCAACAAACTCTTTACATCGCTTATATTACTGACTGGAAAATGGCATTTCTTTCACAACAAGCGAAAAAGAAGATGATTTGGAAATTAGCGATAAAGCGTGAACATTGTCTTTTGCTGAAGATTTAAAGAAATGCCTTAACAGGTAAAGGTATCAACCTACTTGCTTGGAGATTCCCTGCTATCAGGTCTGTTCTGTAGAAAGGTTTGCCTTCAGTGTCGATACCAGCCCAGGGAGCAAGTGTCTGTATGATCAGCTCGTGTGTGCTCAAACTGGGAGACTAATGGTCCTGTGACTGATCGAGGATTGGTTAAATTGATTCAGTTAGGTCCAAAAAAATTGTACTCTATGACGTAATAATCAGCACCATGTAAAGGATTCTTTTTGTTTTGCAAGAAATTTTTCTCAAAAATATTACGAGTTCGGTGAAAATTGTTTTCGACCGATGTCATGAATGAGAATGTTGGATGTAAATCAGCTCCATTGCATATGCGACAGGAAACTTCTATAAGGCTCTTACTAAAGTTTAGACAATTCATCGGTCATTTTCATTTAAGTCTAAATGGTGATAGGGAAACTAACGATAAAAGCGACAGAAAGCTAGCGGAAATCTCTTCACAAAGCTCCGCCAGACAACCACCTCGAAAATAACATTAGTTACGCTTTGTATTTTAATAATTGATATTTGAAGAACAAATTAATTTTAGATGCTGTTTAACAAACTTTGATCATCATTCTTGTTAACCGCCGATAAAATGCATGATGTTCTCTGCGGAAACCAAAGTTAAACAGGAAGCCAGTTTGATTCTCATCGTTTGCTCTGAGGGGAATGTTACTTGACCAATCACCTCCGATTTAGCCGATCATAGCGCTCGAAAAGCATTATTCTCTTGCTTGGTAAATACTAATGAGTTACAAGACAACACAAAATAAGATTCACATGAAACCTTCATTTTAATATAGAACTGAGAATCCAGCATTTCAACATGAAGCTAATTGATGCCTCTTTGGCTAGCTTCCGTACTTAAGGAATTTATGTACAACACTCCACCTTAGTCCTTAAATCGAATATAATTTTTTTTTAAGTTTATAAAGTCAAACTATTCCTGCCTCTAAAATTGCGCTTACTGGCGAAGCTTGGTCCTGAGATTCTGGTGACAAATCCTGAGCCTGCGGATTACACACCGTTCGGCGGTACTTCGCTCGAGCGTTTTGAAACCAAACCTGTAAAACCCTTTTAGAGAGGCCGGTTTTTTGTGAGAGTTGTTTCAAGTCTTTTGCGTCAGGATTGTGATTCATTGCAAAGTACGCTTTCATTGCTCGAAGTTGATGGTGCTTGAACGATGTGCGCATGCGTTTGGGTTTTGTGTCCCCATTGTGCTGACCAAGGTGACTTTCATTGTCCGAAATTGTAAATCCTGGAAAAAAGGAAATTACGAAATTTTTGTTAATACAAAACTATTTTATTTGGTGACTAGTCAAAGCTAAAATATATTTAAGCGAGAGCGGGTGAAAAGTCACAGTATATATTTGCGCAAACGCATGCACAAAAAGTTATTCTGATGTTTGAGTCTTACGAATGGCACAAAAATTTCAATTCATGTCTGAAAGAGTACCACTTGCACCGTACATAATGAGTATCATGTATAAAGTTTAGTTTGTTTAGTGGCAAAGCATTCAAGGCCATCGTCAGCTGGTTACCCCATTCACACAGCAAAACATTTTTAGTTAAAACGGGTTTAACTAATGTAACCTCTGCCTCAAAGAAAAATTACTCATCATCTGCCGACCTGAATTATCATCACTCAATAAACGTAATGAACTCGTGTCCTCGTGCCGCCACAGAAACAAAGCGTTACTGCGTAACAATTGACCGAAACATTTAAATTTTCCGCCACGCCTATTATGCAAATTTGTAAATTATATATACAACGATGGTTACGAATATTCTTCACAATAAAATCCCCTGATAAGTGAGTAACCACAAAACAGACTTGTAGGGATGAAAGTATAGTCTCCTTGTTTTTTTTCCTTATCTCAAAATATATATATGTTGTGTACATTAATAAATTACGCGTTTCTAATTGGCTGAAAACGAGTGCATTCTCATGTAACACCGATGTGAAGTTGTGACATGAGTGCAGAGTCGCAACAAGAGTACAAATTACAAATAGCGCGCACGCTTTTAAAATTTCTTCCGTCTTGCCTTTCTGTGATGCTTTTTCATGTAATCAAAACTTTTCGTGGTAAGTCAGTCATTGGGGACCTACAGCAAATTAAGACGGTAACGGTAATGGGAACGTGACAAAACAAAAGATTTAATGGGTAGAACAATAGCTCAGCACGTGCGTTTTAAAACTATGTACATTTCTTAGCCGCCCTCTGCAAAACGACAACCTAAAATCACCAAAATTTGTGTCGTTTTCGAACGGAAACCGCGACGGCAAATGATTTCAATTTCCATTTGGAACTTGTCGCTGCTTACATACGTTAGACTGGAGTTGAGATGTGGCACCGTATGAGACGTTTTTCATATACAGTAATTTTCGAAATTCGACGTCTTCCTGAGTGTTGCTGTCCTAACTGCTTGAGGTTTCTATTGCTGTTATGATACGCGGACTTACTTCGCTAAGGCCTGTCAACTGTACGAGGCAGAAGGATATCATAGTATACCCTGTGGTTTTTACTCTTCTAATGTGTAGTGGCGTAATAATAAACGTGTTTCAGGGCACTTCGTTTATGTCAGTTCGGGACGGGTTTTCAGTCTACGTAACAACTATCATCTACAACCAGACCGTGGCGCCCCAGGAAGAAGCCTATAATTTATTAAATTACCGCTAGCGATGCGTTCAGATTTATCAACTTTGCACAATTTAGGAGCATATGACAGACACTTCTCTGCTGAATTTTTGAAGAGCTTGTTGTTTGGAACGTATCTGTTTTGGTGGTTTACGAGAAAACAAATTGCTGCTTATTTTTACCCTGAGAGGCACTCCTGCAGAAATTTCAAGATTTTCTTTTACGTTTTGCCCCGACTACGGGCGTAAGCTCTAAGCACCAGGCTCCGGTCGTTCGAAGGTTGGATAACGCTATCCACTGGATAAATCACTAGACGGTGGACAACGCTGGACGTTTTGCAATCAATTATCCACCAGATAGCAATTTAACCGTTGGATAGTGTTATCCTCCCTTTAAATAACTGGGCCCGGCTTTCAAAATTCGTTACGGCGGCTTATCAGCTTCCATTTAACTCCTACTTGATAATGAACAGTATGTTGTTTATTTAGGTTACTTTGCTTCCACTTATACACCAGACCACTTATTTTTCGATAAACACATAAATTATCGTTTTTCGGTTTTTCTTCAGTTCATTGGAAAGTTAGGTTAACCATAACCATCTTTGCAAAGAAAACCAGCTCTCCTTTACAGCCAGGCAAGATAATTTACTACGTAAACAGAATTTAAAGAAAAAAAGCTAACCGGCTTTACGTTTCGTTTACGCTATATGCTGATAAACAAAGTAAAAAAGCCTTTTGTTGGTTTTAAGTACGTCCACTTACACTTTTTAATGTTAATAAACGTCGAGTAATTCTATTCGAAAATGCACTTATTTAGAACATAGTCAAGAATACTTAACAACACTGGCTCAGGTTTAATAACAGCGCTTTCGGAGATAAATATCTAACAAAAGAAGTAAATCGTTTTTACCAAGCTGTCTATTGCAATAACGCTTACAAATCCATATGAAAAGTAACTACAGAGACAGTGGCAATTTTTTTTTTTGTAGTTACCGATGAAGACAGCTGTAATGTCCATTAGTAAGTAACGCCTCGGCGCTCGTGCAAAAAGCCACTTTCACTTCATTTCAAAAATACTTTCTTTGTTGTTTGAATTCGCATTGACGTGTAAATTAAGGACTCGACGGAATTGAAAAGTAGTTGAAAATTACGTGCAAATTTCCTAACAAAACAACACCGCAGTTGTTAAGAAAAACTATTGTGTTCAGTGGTCCCACGAGGGAACAAAAAATCCTGAATTAAGTTGAAAAAGACGCCCATATTACGCTTATTTTAAAACCTAAAGACTATTCATTTTGCCGTCCAGATGTCGCCAGTGCATGAAAAACGTTCTATGGCGTATCTCGTATAAATCAAACGTTTCATTCCATCCATTGTCGCTTAACACGCTTAAGGCTACACACATTGAGTATAAGATATTACAGCAGATGTCTTTGCGAATCAAATGAAAAAATCTGCCCAAAAGATAAGTCATGTATTAGGGGCGCGCACAAACAATAAAAAAACCGATGCCTCGGGCAAATGAAATGAAAGACACTCTAACTGCGGAGTAAAAAGCTTCATTCTCATCGTCAGATGGTCGCTCCAGGCGAAATGGGTTATATTGCGGCAGAGCAATGGCAACAACAAAACGGAGAAAAATAGTTTAAAACAAAGTTCTCGGTTGTTTGAGAACCATAACTGAAAGCTAATAAGAGCTATTATCACCTCTCATTAGTCAGCAGTTTGGGTAATCAGCGCGCTTTGTTTACTAAAACTCACCTGATAAAGCCGCTACGCCTTCCAGAGGTACGGACATTTTCTTTTTTCTAGGTCTTCCTTTAGTTGTCGAAGAACCTAACGTCGTTTTTAAAGCCTGCGCTTCCTCTCGGAGTATCATCTCGTAGTCCGCTTTGCAGAAGATTTGCATTCCACGCATACCAAAGTATTCGCCAGTGGCTAAGATTCGTTTGCAGCGATCGCAGGCGAAACAGCTGATATGGTAAACATGTTCGCGGGCGCGCATCACCAGCTCTTTGCTGGAGATACCTTGGCCACAAGCAGCACATCTATTCACTGAGAAGCGCCTGGCAGAGAGAGAATGAGGACTGGAGTTAGCCTCTTGTCTGTAAGAGGCAGATTGAGTGCGTTAAAATAACTTAAGGTAGTCTTGTAATCGAAGAACCCGACAGAACAACAACCAGTCCTTATCAATTCAGAATATCATAAGATAAATATAATATACAGAAAACAATCTAAATCAACTGAAATGTTACTTTTGGATTTATAAAAAAAAAACACACAAAAAAAAAACGCACATAGTTTATTGTTATTCATAGAATAACTGAAAAATCACGCGCGCTCTAATTAATTAAAATCTATCTTCTATTGTAGGGTTAACTGAGAGATGTTTTGTAATACTCACAGCCCGCACTTTTCATCGATTTAGCGGCGTACCAATCAATTTAAGGATATTATGAGAAGACGAGGAAAAACCCATACGAGTCAACGGCTAGTGATTAACAAAATTTTCCTCTGTTCCCCTGGCATTTCAGGCGGTAAACCTTTTAAAACTACGCTCTCAATATTGCTTACATCATCGAGGAGGTGAAAGTTCACTGATCATCGACAGCACTGCACAATTTGAAATTTTTTCACTAATTATGCAATTAGGTATTAATCAGCTCATAACTCAAGGTAAATCATAAGCAGCGACTGACAGTAAATAAGGATAGACTTCAACGCTGTCCAATTCAAATTCTCACCGTATGTACAATTACTGGCTCAATTTTTCTGTCGAAAATTTTTTTGCTTATTTTCTGGCTTCCATGAGGAAAAAAAGTTGAAGAGGCTGCATATTACGAAGCTCTGTTTTTCCTCTTTCGATAAAGACCAACTTTGAAAAAGAACTTGAAAAAGTTTGAAGATGTTGAATACAACGTTGTTACAGGGAATTCGATATCCTGCGAGTACCATTGCTTTCGCAAAATTTGCAATCTTCGCGACTGTACCAGGAAGATCGAACGGTGAGGATTGCGTGTAAATAAGATAAAAAATTCTTTCCGTCTGAATTGATTTGTTTTGTCTTGCAATTACTGACCCTATTCAGGTACCCTTAATTTTTCACATTTCTCACACTGTGTTGTGGTGAACTGAGTAATTTCTCGATTTTTCTTCGGTTGACGAATTTTTTTTTTAGCTCGCTTCTCGCAATCACTGAACTCGACATCGAAAAATGTGAAAATGAAAGTTTTACTGCGCGCGAATTACTCAACGCGGAAAATAAAGGCAACTATATGTTGAACAAATGTCTGAAAATTTTTTAAACGAACAGAATATATTCCTTTTCTTTCAATACAACACAATACAACATGTTCACAATAAAGAATAGTCCATTTAATATGATGAAAAAAAAATAAGATACGGCTTTAAATGGTAAAAAACCTTGTCGGAAACTTCCCTAAAGATAAAATGTTTTGATTGAGGGTCCATTCTCTAATGAAAAATCCTTATCAACATTAAGATTTTTTATAATATGCCAAGTGCTTTTCAAGTGCATTCACCGTATTGTCAACACTGCCGTCTGTTGATATCTCGCAAACCCGCAACAAACAGTTCGGAATCTTGGGCATAATTTGGACGTAAATCCGCGAGCTATTTTCATTACTTACCAGGCTTTCTGGCGTCTAATTGATGACATAGAATATAATTCGGTTCATCTTGACCGATACTAACTGATAACCTACAAAACCAGCCTTTATACTCTTAATAAAACAACGAAGAACACTTAACTCCTTTCTAGGAAACAATGATGTATGGCATTTTTGCCAATACGTAATTTTTTAAAAAATTTTAGCAAAAAATAAGCGCTTTAGCAAGTTATATTAATTTTTTCCCAAATTTTATTTGGACTTAAAAATTATCTCATTTGATAGATTTTTGTTAAACCATAAACATTCCTTGGCTTGTCGAATCAGAATCGAAAATTTCATTTATTAACGAGCGCCGGAATATGTATTTACCCTTTCCAATGAAGAATTGGTAATTCTTCAAACTTTCCAATATTATTTCCGGTATTAAAAAAACGCTAGCTAGCTAGGTTGAAATCTTATCTAATATTTCATACCTGTGTTACCCAACTACAGAATAAATATTTTGGAAAACGTCGGCGCCTTTGAAGGCTTAAAGAAAAGATGTTTTAAGAAACAGTTGGACAAAAAAAAATCAATCTCGTTTTTTCCTCTGTTATTTTTTCCCTCTTCTTGTTTGTTTTTTTCTTCTAGGGTATAGTTTTTGTATTTGTTTGGACTAAATGACCATTGCTATACAGTCAAAATTAATTTCAAAAATTTATCTTCAAGTGTTATGACGTATAACAAAAAAGATGTTTTTATTATTACAAGAGGACTTAACACGCAAGTAGATATCTCGGTCAGCGCTATATATCTGCATATGCGCGTGATAACAGCCACATATATATGTATATGAAATAAGTGAGTCCCCTTCAGAGGAGAAGAAAAATAAAACAGAACGTTCTAAAACAAACTAAAGATCAGTATCGGCAAAATCATTTTCAAAGAATTAAGATAAAGTTGAGAGCATGGGAAGCAATCACCCTTACATAGAAAAATCAATTAAATTCGCACGATAGCGACTTACGTAAAAACTAAGGGTCACTTGAATTGCGAAAATTTGAAGAGAGATGCGATTGATAGTGACTCACTTGTAGTAATCTTCTCGACACAATATGGCCCCGTCCCTGGTAAAACACGTAAGCTCGTTGTCCAGCCTCAAGCTGCATTCGCTGCATTTCAAACACTCGACATGCCATTCTCTATCGACCGCCATCAAATAGAAACGCTCGATAATCCTTGTACCACAACCTGCACAGAAGGAGGCTTTTTCGTCGAGAGTGACTTGATCTGCCGTAGGCATGGCCTGGAAGGGAAATTTAAGAAGAAAAAGTTATTTAACAAAAGAAGCAATATTTTATTGTCAGTTAGCGTATCTATACCGAATGAGTAGAATATTGTGGTTTCGTTGTCGCAAGACCTAAAATACAACCAGAACAGACCTCTTCATGATGACAAGTTTTTGTAACAAATTTTTCTGAAGGTGATGGACCACGATTGTGCTAATGTCGCTTATCCCTGCAGGGAATTTCGACTTTAGAGCAATTTCGCTGTGGTTTTCGTAGGAATGCATGAATTGTCAGAGCGTCAGTGGTATTAGCTTTGTTGCTGAAATGGCTTCCAAGAAACTCCTTGAAACCAAGGAAAGTTACACTAAGATAATACTCTCTGTCAAAAGTGATCGTACTGTCCGGAAAAATTCTCTCAGTATCTTACACTTTTCAGCCGACTTGTTCTCTAATTGAAGTAGTTTAGGGCTCCTTTCAACTTTGAACAACATCATAAACAATTACGTTCTAATCGCCGACGAGAAATCGCCACTAAATTAAACAGGACGTCGAGACCATTATGACTTATTTGCTGTGTCCTGTATTGTACGGGAATTAGCATACTTTGTGTTAATTTCAAATGCAACACAAACACAAACACTTCGCACAGTTACACAAGGATTCTTTTACCTCTTGAAAGAACATTTTTTTAAATGGAAGCAGTTACAACTTCTCGGTGGTTGAATCTCTTTAAATCCTCTGCAGCGTTTTGTTTTCCGGCCGTCGTCTTAAAGTTCACCGAGTTAAATGGACCCATACACAATGCATGAAACCAAACAAGTCCTTTCTTTTCGCTTCCTGGGCGGTTCGATAATTTTCCACCAAGATACACCACATAATCTCCAACAATAACTACATTATAGCATCTGAATTCTTAAAATTTCAAGTAGATTTGTAAATCGCCATGCTACAAAGGGCTGCGTAGAATCGGTAAGGTTTCACATGATACGCGTCCGGATTTTGCTAAACTTAATATTACCTGCTTAAGCTTACGTACCAGCGATTTGAGCTGTGGTACAATTTCCAGAAGGCACCGCGCGAAATTAGGTATTAAGTTGAGATCGTACGCTTCAGCAAGCCTACAAATAATACGTTATATTCCCTAATAACACAGTTTGTTCTTGTCACGCGTTGGGAGAAAATCCGTTACGTGCTTGCATGGGGAGCGAAGTACTCTTGGTTTGTTCGTTAGCAAGTAGAACGAAGTGAGCAAGAAAGCGGAGGTCGATTTCACAGCTTTACAACCAATCAGATCTCATTGCTTGGCCGTGATTGACGTGTGTGTTATAAACAGTGAACTGGGTTCCGCGTTTGATACATCATTGTTACCTATATTTCCGTTTTCCTCTCATGTTTACTTTTAATAAAATCTGATAAAATTTCAAGTGGAGGAGTAGCAAGTCTTTAAGTGTCACGAAGAAAGCGGGAATAAGCGCTCACGCTTTTTGGTTGCCTTCAATACTCAATACACGTATAACTGGTATTAATTGTGCACAGAATATTTGATGATGTTTTCTTAACTCGACTAGTACAAAAGAACTTAAAGGACCTTTTGATTCTATGCTAACAGCCTTGAAAGGCTAAACAATGGGTCTGAGAAAGACAAAGTAATATAAAGGAAATTTGACATGCGTAAAATCGAGCCAAACTGTTTACCTTTTGAAATAATTGACAAGTTTTTGAAATTGATTACATTTCACCTGTGATTTAATTCGGGCGCTAAAGAACTGTATTTAGCGATCAAAATGGCTTTTCCAAAAGATTTCTGAGCCCTCTTAACAAAGAAAATCAAATGCGCATGATTGTATTCAATCTGATTGTAGAATTCACTTTTCGCATTCAAATTTTCAGTCTCTTGATCTCAATGCTTGCCAAATTAACTCGAAAACCATTAACATCATTTTTACGCTCGTTAAAAGTGAAATCTCAGTCTTTCGGCAACTGAAGGAGCAAGCGGTGTGCGCATACATACAAGGCCAACCTTGGCCAGTATATCATATTAATTCCCCTCCTTCAGAAATATAAACGAAAACTTGCACCGCCTACGCATTCTGTAAATACCTAAGCTAGATACAGCCAGCTAATAAATAAACAAGCTTGACAAGGGTATCGACAGCGAATGACATTGAAAAATGTAAAACTTGAATGAAAGCTAGGACGTAATCAATTTCAGCTTATTGCCTTGTCAAAGGGGGGTTTTCTGGTTATGAAAACATACGACATTCAATTCTAGTTCATAAATGGATAAAAATAACAGGAACAAGTGTTAGGCGCGTATTTGCATCAATTTTTTTTCAAAAAAAAAAGTTTTGCTCGTACCTTTCTCTTAGCAAAACGAGGAAGAAGTTTTGATGACCACATTGAAAACAAGCTGAGCTGGTAAATCGGATGAGCGCTCTCCTCTTTAAATGCAAAAAAAAAAAAAGTCGTGGATGGTCAGATTAAAGATCTTAATCAGAGCCGAAGCAGATAAACTAAGAATTAAGAAGAATGCATTATACTTAAGAATATGCTGGCCCGAAAAGTTTTTCAATTAAACCATTTGCGCAATGAGTGAACAAAACCCCGATTTACGATTAAGATAAAAAATTGAAAACCGTTTCTCTGAACGGCTGTATTTCCACAAAAAACTATAATACATGCGATTAAATAGTATTAAACAAAAAGATATAAAATTTCCGCTAATTTAGCATAACTAAAGCACGGATCTTCAAACATTTTATTAATCTTTGAAAAAATTCGGACTTGTTTTGGTTTAGTTACTGAGCGCTCGAATCAAAGATGAATTTTAGAGAAGCACCTTGAAACACTAAAAATGAACTATGAAAAATGAACTACACAAAGATACATCATTCGTTAGGCATTCAAATTCTTTTGAAAGCTTGTACCACTAATAGATAAGGTAAAAGAAAATAAAATTTGGTTTTAAATTATCGAAACTCAAAACACAAAGATCTGGTCGTAATTAACTAGTTAGTGCATCGGTGTTTAAGTTTTACACTAAATTACTGTGGCTAAACATTACAAGCGTATAAACTTGTGTTCCTTTGACCTTTTTTTATAATTCTTGCGAAATAAACCTCATTGAAAGTCTAGTGGATCGAGTAGAATTCATTCGGAAACATTTCGTATCATTTAATTACCTACACAGTACAGATTTAGAAATCTCTAGACAAAAGAGAGAAAGCTTTTGTATCTGCGGCTGATCGGTTCGCAATGATATTTTGAAATTTCCACGACATACAGATCTAAATCGGTTCACGGGCTTGAAATCCGAGGAATAATTCAATTTCAGACTCGCAAAAAAAAGTGGTAAACCTTTTCTTATTAACACATTGGCTTGAGAGGTACCGGAAGATTTTGAGAAAGGCAAAAAACCATTTGATCTTTGCATTCAGAAGGATTAACCTTCAAAAGAGAAAACTCCTGCTAACCGTGCACGTTTATGGACTAGACGAAACAATCACACTTCCTTAAAAAAAACCCTTAACCTTGCCTCGATAAAATTGTTTCAAGTTCAACCGGAGTTCCTTATCACTTTCGCGCTCTGTGAAAAGCCATTATTTTGACGAGCCAAAATTCGCAAAAAGCGATGGAAACCACTGAAAGTTCAAATCACATCACTCTTTACCTGAAACTGGTCTCGAAACATGTGCACGGGTGAAAGTGGACTTCGCTTCCAGCTGGCTTAGGCAGATTGATCAGAGTCGATAGTCGCGTAGCTTTGCTAGTTGCGGTGAATACTTGCCCTCACCACTAGCTAAATATCTCGCAACGGTTGCAGCTGTGTATTTTTAAGGTATGGAACCCCTCCTGAAATGAACCCTTTATTTAAATATTGCATAGTAATTTCCATATGTTTTAGGCTCGGGAACAGGTGAATCGAGAGCACTCAGATGATTCTCTTTCCGTCATTTCGCTTTTAAGGACGATGAGATGCACAGAATATCGGCCCGTTTCCGACTTCTCTTGAGAGTAAATTGCATTTAAATGGGGAAATTGTTCTTTGAGTTACAAGGGCACTTGACTCACGATCCGGAACAAAATACGGCCACACGTGTCTGTCGTACAAGTGTCAGTTTTGTTTCCGTTTGAGAGAGAGATATGTCTATTCAAATTCAAATGTAGACACAATGCTTTTCATGCGTTTGTGGAGAGAGAACAGTTTCCTCTCTTAGTAGTATAGGACCTCTTAAACGGGGCATTGTGATAAAAAGTTCGCCGAAACACAACAAGATCTCGTTCTAAAGAGGAAATTTAAAAGGAGTCGATTGAGTGTGGTTGTTTGAAACAAAGATGCCTGAAGTTTACTTATCTTGATCAATATAATGTAAAACCTATTCTTAATACATTTTGTTTGAATAATTTTGTGTGTGAAATGAAAGTAATACTGTGAATAACACTTCATAAAATTATTGCAATGCGATAACTCGTGCGCATGCGTTCTTTCAAAATAAAAGTGTGCCTTCAACAGGAAAACCTTTTAACTTGATCGATGGGAAGGCAAACATCTCGACCGCAATATTCGTATGATTTATTGTTGTCAAAATTTTAAACATATCATGCCGTCTGTAGGCGTCTTTGAGCGATTACGAGCGTCAACACGCTGCCTTGCATATGTCCACGATGGCGTTTTTACTGATTGGAGAGGTAACAACAGTGTGTAAGATGTACACACGGTGTATTGTTGCTAAAAGTATTGACAGAACGTATTGTCTGAAAAGGATTTTTAATTTCGTTGACGATCAGCGCGTCCAAATTCTGTACCAAGTCCTGATCTTTAATCAATCGGCAGTGCGAGTATAATTAACAACAGTAATAAATTCGTTCTGGTGGGTTGGTCACTCGCATACACTCTAAAAGCTATACGTGCCCAAGTATTTTCTTCTCGGCGATATGCAAGGTGTTTAAACAAAAGCTCGACCCTTTTGTTGGGTCCTTTGCTAACCTCGGGGGCGTCGCGTGGCGGCACGTGCCAATTTCTGACGAAAACAACATTGAAATGGGTTCCCTGGCGGGAATAAAAAACTTCAAGGCCATTGAAAGGGTTTACCACAATTTACTCAATGTGACAATACTTCGTTCAAATTGTGCCAAGGCTTTTGGTTTTCGGTTACTTTTGTTTTTTTGTAATGAAAAATAAACACAATATTCCGGAAAGCTGATAAAAACAATAAAGATTCTGTACACTCGAGGGGGAGCTGTCATTGTTTTCACAAAGAACCGATTACCTGTTTCTTAACGTTAAAAAAGCAAGAATGCTATTGTATGGGGCGCCAACGAGCGACAAAATCCCGCAAGAACCAAGATTCACGACAGAATCTCAACGGCGGCTCGCTTGTCGATGAGGGAATTTCCTCGAATTTTCAGCTTCCCGTTAATTAATAAATTATATACTCTTAATTAGCTTCTAGCGATGTGTCATCTTGGGACGAATTTCAGCTGTGAAAATTGAAAACATATTCTTCCACCTGCATTGGACTGATAAACAAATATAATCTAATTAGGAGAAAGATACATTACCGCACATTGAAAGAAGCTTAAAAACGAGCCTTGAATAATCTGTGTTCAATGCTACAGTTAACGATATACATTTTAAATTCTAATTTCGTTCCAACGATTTGGTTTCCCAAGGAAATGAGTAAATGAAAACATACAGTTGGCACCTCGAATCATTAAGTCAGCGAAAGATGTATACAATTCTCGTCATTTCCGACTTGCAAACTTTAAGAAATTTCTCAGCGAATGTCATAGATTGCTAAGGGTTAAAAATATGTTTTGCAACAAAATTTGAGAAATATTAAAGAGTTATACTTCGATGGGTGGGCTGCTTTTTCATCGGGTGAACGTTTTAGATCGAACGCTTATTTAAAATTCACAACTTAGGAAATTTTCGCACTTGGCCTGAGAGGTAAGCAGTATGGTTTAGGTACGTTTTTTCGTAAATAATTGATATTTTACGTTTTTACTAAATCATATTTTTTATATTTTCAGGGGCTGAAATGAATTGGAAAAATTTGATACTGACTCAGGATTAGAGTAAAAACGAGATTTAGTTTTGTTTGACGCAATCCTAGTCCCATTCTTATGCATGATTGAAACTTGATACCGCCGAGCCAATTTTCCTGCAACTAAAGAATATTCTTCTCTTAATTCGCTATATTAAATTAAACTTTTAAGCTCTCAAATAGACACAAATTAAAAAATAAAACCTAACAATTTCAATTTGTTGTAGCCGTAAAAAAAGAAATGCCTTAGTTGTCGCCTTAGTTTTCAGTGAAACCGTCTACCAATTAGAATTGTGTTTTATTTCTGCAAACAACACACTTAAGGGGTTATACATTAAAAGGAAATTGTATCATAATTTTAACACGTTATTAAGAAGATCAGAATACTCTTAACATAAACCACCAGAGACGGTAAAACTTTAATTGTAAATTATTTTATTCGCATTTTGCGTTTAACACTTGAAAAGAAACTGTAATTAATCAAATTCTATTAGTGAAATAAATGGCGAATTGAGCGCGTCAGCAAAAAAAAATCGTTTAAATTGTATCGGCAATTATATTTCTATGTTTACCATATTTGCCAAACGTAACTTTTCACTCGCTTTTTAACCAAACAGCGGGAAATTTTTGCTCAAAGTTTATGGGTGCAATCTAGAAATCTAAGAGAACTGGAATCTGAATTTGTCAAAGCGATGAAAATTTTACTTGGTGAGAATAACAAGTAATTAAATTCGAATGTGAATAAATTCTGGCTGTTTCGTCCTGAGGTTTCTGTAGACTAACGCAAAATCATTTGAGCAATGAAGGTTATTTTTTACTGGATTATCGTCTGAGTTGGCTTCTGTTTGTGGCTGATTTAACTTTATTTTTGTTTAGAAATACTCTTCAGTGTTCTTAAAGCTTCATTAATGGTTATATTGGGGTCTTGTAATCGAAGAAATCAGATGGAATGTTAACGAGCCTAATATTGCTGAACTGCCACGGCTGCTCCTGTTTTCCTCAGGATTTACCTTTTTTCTGTCTGCTTTTACCGGCCTTGAATGGAATTCCAAACAATAACAATTCGTCTCAAAATGTTGATGACAATCACAATTCGTCCCAAAATGTTGAAAACGTTTTTACCTAAGAAATGAGAGGTACTCATTGATACTCCAAGCTGATTTGCCAAAGGACGTCGATAGGTTTTCACGTCTTGGTCTGTTGTTCCCAGATCGACTTAGATTATGGAGGGTTGGTTTTTGTTGAGTATAGAGACCCAAAGACAAAAAAAATATGGAGATGAAAAGTGAAAGAAATTTAAACTTAGTGTGAAACCTAGGTCAAGGGGTCAAACGTGGCTATGCCCTCTATCATGTCCCTTCCCTTATGTCTCCTCCCCTATATGCCCTCCCTTGTGTCCCCTCCCCTGTATGTCCTCCCTCAAGTCCCTCCCCTTGTATCCTCTCGCCTGTATGCCTTCTATCATGTCCCTTCCCTTGTATCTCCTCCCTTATATGCCCTCCCTTATGTTCCCTCCCTTGTCTCCCCTTGCCTTTTTGCCCTCTCTTATGTCCCCACCCTTGTACCTCCTTGCCTTTGTGCCCTCCCCTATATCTCTTCCCCTATATGCATCCCATTATATATCCTCCCCTATGGCTGATCCCCTATATTCCCCCCCCCAAGGCTCACTATTTGACAGGGTCCCAATGGCAAATAAAAAAAACAAGAAATGGATGTCATCCTTCTTCAATGTCACTAACTTCTTGATTTTAGCTTCCAAAAAGGAAACCACTTAATGAATCTGACCAAAACAACAAAGTGATGGGGACAAATGCCAACTTGTTTATTTGTTTGTTTCATACCAGAGGATTTAAATACATTAGCACAGACTGCAAATATCTCTTGAAAACAGGGGTGCTTTCACATGACTCACTCACATACACACATATAAATTATGTCGTATTTCTTTTAGTTTGAATGTTTGATAATGATATTAATAAATACCAGTAACCAATACAAAATATTATTATTGCTGTTATAATTTCCACATCCTTGTTACATTGAGAAATCTTTGCGTTATGGTTACTCCTTAGTCTCTCCAATACAGAGAAAGCACAAAGTATAGAAAACCATGACGCTTCAGGCTGATTTTTTTGACAATCCAATTTCATTTCAAAAGACTGAAATTTGCTTCAGGAAAATTCATAATGATTATAATGAAGTGTTTGTCTCAAACATATGTCTTTTCCTGAAGCTGTATACATTATCATTTCTGTAATAATTTAATTGCATGACTGTCTGTTTGATTTTAAACGTAAAACGCTGAATTAAATTTCTTCTTGCGTTGACTGTGTGGTACATTCTCATGACCAAATGGACACTGAAATAAAGATGAAAAAAGAGTTTATAAAACATACTCTCCAAAACAAATCATGTTTTTGCATGACACAAGAGTTAACCCTTTGACCCTGGGAGTGACTAGCATCTGATCTCTCCTTACAGTTTCACCCCTGAGTCAAACATTAAGGTCAGGAGAATAAAGGATATGATCTTCAACTATTGAAGCTCTTGATCATTAAACAAATTCTCCATGTCAGCATCTAAGGAAATGTATAGAGAACAGCATGGAGAATATGCATATTGATGTTAGAATGCTAAATGACGAGTATAATATGTTACTCACATGTCTGCAGCCATTTCCACAGCAGGCCCTACGCTTGGAAAGAAATTCTTCAGTGAAGACCATATACCCAGTGATGGGATCTGAATAACTATTTTTCCCATTCTAAAAAACAGAGAAGAATATATCAAGAAAACACTTCCATTAACCTGACAAGAAGAAACAACAATAGGCTAATGTGTGAAATGGTATTTAAAGTTCAAAATGTTCCCATGAAATCTGGGTGACAGTGTTATTTCACAGACCTTAACTCTTAGGATGACTGTTTGAATGTTGTTTGCTAAAAAAGGTTGTCTATTAAAGTAGATTATTTTTTGGTATGTTCAAAACTAATGAGTTAGACAGATATTCATCAGATAGAGAATGTTTATAACAAAAAAACACAAAATTCTGTTCAGAGCACTGATTTTGTGTCACTACATGTGAACAATTAAGGTTATGGCATACTGTACATTTATTTCTATTTAAGGCCTGATCAAATGCACAAAAAATTAGCAAAGATTGGAAAGATTTGCACCACTCTTCCAAATTGGGAAACAAAACAGAAAATTTGATCCACTCAACTACCTTACTAACAACAGTAATTGCCAGTCAGTGTAAGTATTGTCCTTGGATTTTATCTCTAATAAATAGCATGACACTGAACGGTAAATCAAAGTTCCTACTTAATATCGTTGTTGGCTAGGGGAACTGTTAAAAAAAGGGTCAAGGACGTGCACTTAGATCTCCTGGTCTGGAGGGTATGAAGAATTTTTTTGAGTGAGCTCAGGGGGGCCCAAGCTTATTAGGTCCCTGCCAGTTTGTGTTATCTGGGAGAGTATGATTTTTGGGGTCCTTGATCTTAAACTGGGATTTCAACAAAGCAACAGTGGTTTAGCATGGTGTGTACTCTTATTGAAAATGATTATCATCTTGGTGGTCAAAATTCTATGGACACAAAGGTGCAGCGGAGTAAGTTGGTGACAAATTTTGACCACTGTGATGTCAGTAAGAGTACAGATCACACTAAACCACTGTCACTTTGTTTTTTACCACAATACTGATGTCAAATAAAACGATTCTTTCAGTGAGAATCATCCATGTTTGAGGGCTGATAAAGGCATCGCATAACACACTGACATGAGCAGCATTGTCAGTTTTCTTATCAAATGGCAAATTGGCAAATCACATTATGACATTACTGCCAATTGTGGAAAAACATTTCATCATCCAGATTTTTGGTCTTTACATTTTTCTGAATTGGAAGTTTTAAACCATTTTGGTGGTGTGATGCACCTGTGCAATACTAGCATTCTCTGACCATGTCATATTAATCATCTTGTTTAAATGTGTCAGGTGGCTCCGTGAGATCCAAATGCCACAGTTGCATACATATATGTTCTCACATACATGTATACAGCCAGTAAGACCAGCAAAGGAAGTACCTAGTACCAGAAAAGATGCATACCGCAAAGATTCTATGAATTTACACAATTTCTTTGCCCTTATTACAGAGCTTTCACTCTCAAGATCTCATTGGTAATTCTTCTTATTGTCTGTCATACAGTTTTTGTGTTGTGAGTTTGGAGAATTTGGTGTGGGATAGAAAAACAACTTCCTCATTGATGTTTTTCTTTATACCCATCACTTGTCTGCTTGAAATTGTATTGTCAGTATAAGGAGAAATTCTCTATTGGTAAGCCATTAGAGTTAAAGTGTTAAAAAAAAAAGCAATAATAGTCTCATAAATGGGGGTTTTAACCCTTTGGCCCCTAAGAGTGACCAGCATCTAATTTCTCCCTATAATATTATACTCCTGAATTGCACATTAGGGTCATGAGAATAAAGGAAATGATCACTAGCTAAAGAGGCTCTTGATTATTGAACAAATTATCTTTGTTGACATCTTAAAAAATGTATAGAGAGCCGTATGGAGAATACAGAAACTAATGTTGGGGTGTAAAGGGTTAACCACCCAAGAATCTTTTTATCAATGATCCTGTATTTTGTTTAAAACAGTGTCAGGTTTGAAGAGCACATGTCATCAGTGACATTCTTGGACAAAACCTCTCTGTTATGCTCCCCTAGCCATAGGGAAGTATGGAAACACAAATATTCTTTGATGCTTTTGAGTTGTCAGTGTGATCACTTTGGCAAGAGTAGCCCAGAAATGAACTGATGTTAATGACAATCACATTGTCACTGTTAAATTAACAACAATCATTCAGAACTTGTCTCAGCCGGATGATTACAGTTCATGACTAATTGTTACGCACAAAGAAAATTATCTCTTGTAAAATGATTGCAGTAAGTACTAATTGGCAATTTATCTATCTTACAACCATCCTTATAAACCAAGACGACATTACAAATGTTCTGTCCTTACCATACATGCAGTTTTATGAGCAAGATAAATATTCTTCTCATCATCAGAGAGTTTTTCCCATTGCAATTCTCCTCTTTCTCTCGATCTAGAGTCCCCAGACTTGTCAATTACCCTGTCTTTACCATTATTTAAACAGCAAGAAGAAGTTGCTCTTGTAAACTGTGATTTCCGACGACCGCAAGGACTTAGAAAACCATTAGCTTGCGAGGACATAACACCACCAAAATGTCGGACGCTATAGATAAACGACTGTAAAGGAACGCCACGTCTAAGCATAAGTAGCTGTCCTTGGGTCAAAGATAACTTAACCTGTGCTTGAGATCGATGAGGAGATCGCGTGAGGTAATGCACGTGACTGTAAAATTTTGTTTACTCGTGAGTAAAGTTTACGTAAAATCAACTGTTCACGTTTTTTCTTTGATTTCACGTGTGGAGGTTTCGATCACTAAATTCACAATCTAAATGTTTCTCAAGTGAACGGCAATACTACTTATTTCCTCTATTCCTTGACTAAAGTATTCGGTAAATCACACGGTGGTCAGCTAGTTCTTCTCAGATCATGTCCATGTAATTTTACCGGTAAATTTCGCAACTTTGCGCGGTTACCAAGGTCTCGATTACGTGCTCCAGTTCATTTTAATTTCGCATCATTGGTCCAAAGAAAACCAGAAGCATTCAAAATTCCGTTCTGAACTAAATTTTCCTGTTGATTTCTTATTTCAAACCTAATCACATCCGAGTAATTCACAGCTCGCGCCGATACCATTTTCATGGCAAACCTATATTGCGGCAGGGAGCGGGAAAACAGGTGCGCGATGCTTGATGGTTAAATTAGTTTGCTATGCCTTGTGATAACGCCTGATTAAATTATTAGTTAATTTGGCGGAGGTTTCGTTCGAGCGCTGTCCAGAATGGTCGATTTTTCTCCTCTGAAAGCTGTTCTTTCCGGGCGTGTCATATTTCGATCAGAAAATGCTAAAGATTATCAACGGGAGGTTGATGAAACATGGAATGCCGCTATTCGAACGCGCAAACCGAGTGCGTTTGTCCGGGTAGCGACTGTGGAAGATGTCGTGAACACTGTCAAGTTTTGTGTAAAAAACGAGGTAATGGAAAAAGTTATAGGTGGAATTTATTCCGTTTACACCTTTATACTGGAGAAAAATCTATTGCGATTTATATTATCAATTTTACGCTTAGAGTTTTGCTTCCACTTCTCGAACGTGTACACAAAGTGATGATACCTGTACAGTTTCAGGGCGCGGTAGCCAAGCCTCTGTACCATTTATTTAGCACCAATATACTTAAAACGGTTTAAAAACGGACATGAAAACCACAAAGAAAAAGGAAACACCACAACTCAATCCTTGAACCCCTAAGATCTAGAGTGTCCAGCATCTAATCTCCCCTGACAATATCACTCCTGAATTACACATTAAGGTCATGAGAAAGAAAGAAATGATCACCAGCTACAGGAGCTACTAATTTTCAAAAAAATTCTCATGGCCAGTACAGTGGAAAATGTACCGAGACCTGTATGGAGAATATGCATACTGATATTAAGGGTCAATACCTCACCCAACTAACAATTGCAAATTAGAAACTATGATCCTACAACTCTTCCTGCACCTTGCACCCTTCTCTGCTCTTCTCATCTGTGCGAGAAAAATGATAATATATGCTAATTAGGATTATCACAAATAAACATTATGTCTTGAGATGAATTATCATGATAAATTGAAATATGAATTAAAATATAATTGTAAATTAGGTTAATTAACTATTATCAACTGAGTTCGGCCCTTTGTCGGAGCAAATGTGGAAGGGCTAATGTTTTATTGTCCCACCAACACAGGATAACAGTTTCCAAATGCCAAGTTTACAAATTTCACTGGGCTTTGGGACATAATCCTTGTCAAATTTAGAACAATTTTTGTTTTCTATCATTTCACATTTAGATACCTGTATGTCACTTTTGTTAGAAAAAAAAGGTATTCTCTAAACAGTGGTTCAGGTGTTGGACTGATCCTTTGTTACACAAAGTAATGTTTCACAAATCAAAGTTGCAATAATGAATAACTACAAGAAAAAATACTGAAACATGCATAAAATGCACATTTTGCTGCACATTGTTCAACATGCATACAGGCACCATCTAAATAAATAATGCTATGCTTAGATGACTATCTATGACCTGTACATTGAAAGAGAAACCGTACTGACAAAGAAAATTCACTGAATATAATCAAGAGCTTCCTTAGTTGGCAATCAATTCCTTCTTTCCCATGTCTAACTTAAGTTGATACTGTCAGGAGAAATTACAGGGAGGTCACTCAAAGAGGTTTAAGGGTTAGATTTGTACACTTCACAATGTGTTACCTTGTCATTATGGATGACGTAAGTTTGGGAAATATGAAAATCAAAGAAATAGGCTAGAGGTATTGCCTTTCATTATTTTCTTTGTTTGCCAAGATCTGCAGTCTTTGTTGCTTTTTTTAATTACAACTCCTTGTTTAGTATTTTATTTTTAGGATTTGAAATCATGCCACTAATTGTCATGTCATTATCACACCTCTTTGCTTGAAAAATATGTTTGTGGTATATTTTGCAGTTGGACATGTGTGTTTGTGCTGCAAAGAACAGTGATTTCGCGATGGCTGATGATGCTGTGGTTATTAATCTTTCTGACATGAACAGTGTAACAGTGGATGTGGAAAAGAAGGTATGTGTTGTTATAGTCCTACTGCACTAAGTAGAGTATAAATAACACATGAATTGAGTACTTATACCTGACAATATTTTACAGTTATTTGGATTGCACTTGAATCACACTTTGCATCTAATTGTACTCTACTCCATGCAGCTGGATAGTATATAACTTATAAGATATTTTGGTGTGTGGTTTTGCTGAGTATTTTAACTTGTTTTTTGTATTCTGACTTAAGAAAATACTCAGCCATAACACACACTATTGGATGTAACATTTTATTATACTGGAAACAAGAAAAGGGAAAAACACTAACAACATCCCTATTTTAACTAACTTAACCTTGCATTGCAACCTTCCTTGTGACACAAAACTGCATAATTATGGAACAGTTTGTGACTATATTTGTTAACTCAAGATAATTGTGTAAAGTTGCTGTTTTTTTGCATGCATAACAAAACTAGAATAGACTCATGCAGGTATCCAAAATATTCCTATCTAGGAGCTTGGTGAAGTTACAGGCTGTTAGGCTTAAAATACATAACCTTTGACCTATCTCAAGCCAAATTCTGAGAAGTGAAATTTTAGAGTTTGCGATCTTTGAAACTGTTTTATCTCTTGACTTTTACAGTGTTCTCCCTTGTTTTAAGCATGACAGGTAAAATAAATTTTCAAACCAGTAAAGCAATCCTTCTACCTGTTGAATTTTCAAGAATTCCAAGCAATTTTAAACAGTAATAAGAGGCTCTACAGGCGGTAAATGTTACCGGTTACCACCTGAAAAGGAGAACACTGATTTTATGATGTAGGCATATTTCACAAGGTGTCAATTTTGTGGTTGTGCAAAAAAATTTTGTACACTGAGTAATTTAAGTTTTGCACTTTTTGAGTTAGACCTACAAAATTCCTAATACCAACCAGGTACAACTGTAATTACCCTGAAGAAGCTCATCTGCATCATATTTCACAATTTCAGGTTGTTGTGGTGGGTGCTGGTGCAAAATTGAGTGATATTGACAAGGAAACAGTACGTCATTCACTGGCAACACCCCTGGGTAGTTATTCTCAACTGGGTGTGGCAGGGTACACTTTGCTTGGGGGAACAGGTTTCCTGAGCAGATCCTTTGGCTGTACAGCAGATAATTGTTTAGAGTTTGGTAAGTCTCGATTTTGGAAACCTCAGAAATTTAATATGAGATATTTGCTTTGTATGTTTGTGACTCAAATTTCTTTTTGGCTTGAAATTTTCTCATCATTCTGATGGTCAATTATCATCATTGATTGTAGTATCATATAATCTTTAACAAAGAAATAGACGAATTAGATGGGTTTGCAAAAATGTAAACCCTCGTTTTGAAGAGAAAAAAGATATTAAATTGTTCTTTATTCAAGCACGAATAAGCAGTTCCGCAACAATGAAGGAAATCAAAAAAGCAGGTTATGTTCCCATTCACCACATCATGGACCTTTCTGGAAAAAAATGTATTAATTTTCCGAGTCCAGAGCCACACGAAAGACCCAAGGCTAATTTGTCAAACGTCGCGTTTGAAACCCTGCTATTGTCAAAGAGAGAATTTGGCTATCTGGTCTTGTAACACAAGTGTATTTCAAATAATTTTGTACTGTACCATGCAACAACTTGAAGAAAGTATTTACCTTATCCAAGTTGTTAAATAGCACTCCACAAAATTGGAAATGTTGTTTATGTTTTTGTTCAACAGAACTGGTCACGTCCACCGGAGATGTTATAAGAGCAAGTGAGAATGAAGATCCAGAACTATTTTGGGGAATGAAAGGTTGTGGATTCAATTTTGGGTAATCTTCAAGATCACATTGTTAATTGTACCTTATATACAGGCTTAATTCTAAATTAAGAAGAATTTATTTCAATTTTTTGCTAGTTGGAAAACCGTTCGATGGAAATATCAGTCTGTCATAGATTTAAAGCAAATGTCCGTCACTTACGTTTGCGAAAGCTCCAAAATATGACATAAAGTGCAATAACATTTCTATTATTCGCAAGGAAAATACGGGTTTACTGTAAGTCTTTTGAAAGAAATCTGAAAATACGGAAATGATGTGTTGGTGCAAATGTTTGATAACTCATTGTATGACAAAATCGACTCACAGGAAGCTGAGGTTTGAATGTAGTTTGCCATCCTCTAAAAGTTCGCTTAAGTTATAACAAGACAGCTTTTACTTTCTTTTACAACCCTCTGCTTTTCTCGTAGCATAATGCTGTTCACTGTGTCTTTCCCATTGGCTTTAAAAATTCTGTTGTTGGTCCTGTGTAGGGTCGTTACTTCCTTGAAATATCAACTTTATGACATTCCAGAGTTTGTCATCGGAGGAGATCTTTATTATCCCATGTCTAAAGCAGCAAGCGCTTTCAAGATTATCAGAGACTTTGTACGCGAGAAGGAAGATAATCGGCTGGCTGTGTATATGATGTTGCATTTCAAGAGAAGCGGGTGAGTGCTTCAAGAGTGAGCCAAAAATAAGATTCTCAATTTGAGTACGACTACTTTAATCTCACAAGGTAATTTGGTGTCAACTTTGTTGATAATGTAATTTGGCCATTGCAAAAATGTTGTAAAGGTGATGTCTCGACAAAGGGCTAACGCTCGAAACGTTAACTGTAGAAACTCTTTACTTTGGCCAATTTACATTATCAACTCAGTTGATGAAACAAACTTTTCTTGTGATGCAGTTTCGTGAAAAACCTACTTTTTTTTACTTTTTCACTCTTCGTGTCTTCACAATAATACAAATTATTATAGAAGGAATTGACGACTAAACATACTAAGAAAACGCAGTAAAATGTTGGGAAAAAAAGGTAATAAAACCTAACAGTAAGGCACCATTTTGCAGAATACCTGTACTACTAAGTAAGAAAAAACATTGGCGCGGCTAAAAATCCTTTTGGTGTGTAAAGATAAAACCAGATAATAAGTTCTTCATCAGACATCCAGCGGTGAAAACAAGAAGAAACTGACCCCGTAAACATACCTCACAGGATATTATTGAACATTCATTGCATTTAGCGAATGTACTCCGCGCAAGCAGCACTTAATAAAATTTTATCGCGGGCCACTCTGGATGCATTTAAGGTAATTTAGAAAAGAGTAAATTATCGAAGGGATAAAACAGTAAAGACACTGACAAAAGAAAGTACGATGTTCATCTTGAAAAATCAATTTGAATTCAATCATTCATTCTTTTCATTCTATTCGCTCTGACGATGGGGTAACGCTCGAAACGCCAGCTTAGAAACTCTACGTTGGCCAATTTACATTTTCAGCTCATCTGATAACACCAAATTATCTTACAATAGCCCCAGCCCCCACTGACGCAGCACCGCTGTTTCTTTACAAACTTACCCCTATTTTTCATTTGGATGTATTTTTAAAAATTGAGACAAGGTCGCGTGATCCTTTCCCTAGACCGCAAGCTCTCTGTCGCTTCTTGTTCATTGGTTCCCCTAAGGAGGGAGGGGCTCTACTGATGGAGCTGACAGACTTAACAAAACCGTTAGTGAACAAAGTGAAGCCTTTACCATTGGACGAATTCCAGAAGAGTGGGGACTGGATGGTGCAGAGAGGAATCACCTACTACGCACCTATGGGCAATTTTGTCGAAGGTTAGTAATACTCCTCATTAGTCGCTTCATGCTATGGAAACCGGAATAAGCTACAGCTGGGTGAAGCACTCGGCTTGAGTAGACACTTAACCTTTATCGTGTTACAGAACTCACCGATGACGGCATTGATATCATCTTTGATGGGGTCAACCAAGCGCCCGATTCACGCATCATCACAGGCAGTAACATCTACATAACAAGCCTTGGAGGGAAAATCAAGGAAATACCGGCTGAAAGTAGCCCATACCCCTTCAGACAAGCAGAGTAAGTGATAATCACTGTAAAGCCGCTCTTGGTTTTGTATCATTGAACGTGCAAACTAATTCCTATAATCTACGTTAAAATTAGTACAATTACTTGTGCCACGCTTTAATCGTTTCTAGCTACTGCACATGCGTCATGAAAGTGCTTTAAACTAATGTTCATATCAAATTTACAGCGTGAAAATTGTACGTTTTATTTGGTTTAGACGAAAGAACGAAAACCGCTTTTGATTTGCCATCCTGCGCCTTTCTCCCCGCCTGTGTCTTGCCTCTTATTTCCAGCCTTTTTGTGTGCCACTGTATTGCTTAATACTTCTCGTTACGCAGTTACGTTACATGTAACGCCTTTTCTATCAGTCACAGTTCTTTCCGCTCTTGTAACTCGTCATATTTTTCCCATCTGTTAAATTTCTCTGGCGCCCGTCACATGTTTATCACTATTTCATCAGTTACATTTCTTGTCTCGCTGATAGACTGACAGACTCTTACTTCTTCTCACCTTTCTCTTCAGTTACTTTTCTTATTCACGTGTCGCATGTTTTCTCCTTTTCAATCTGCTACATAGCTGGCGGGCATGTCTCGTGTGTTCCCAGTTATTTCATCTGTTGCATTTATTATTGTGTCACCTGTGCTTTTCTTCCTGCGCATGTGAAGTATTGTTGTGTTTCCTCTACTTTAAGTATGTTTTGCTGTTGTCTCTGGTCTGCGGTGTTTAGTGTAAGCAATGTTTCGTAGTCTAATGGCTTATCCATTCCAGGCATTTCGGACTCAAGCACCGGCCAAGGTCTTTGTTTTGTGTTCATAAGACATCCTAATTTTACCAAAGTACCGCTCCTATGAGATTGAGTTTTGGCGAAGTCTAAAATCCCACATGATACTTGATAGAAGATTCTGTTACCCCGACAGTTTTTCTTGCAATTTTTCATGCCGTTGTTTGCACTGTTGCAAGACAGTGTGCGCGAGATATGATCTATGATTACACCTTTGGTGTTTATTTGGCAACGCGTAGAGGTGTGTCGCCGCGTTGTTGCTATCGTTGCGAGAAGACGATCATGTCTGCTACTTGCCAAAAATAACAGTATACTTATCAGTACCATTTTGCATCTTTCTATGTCTGAACTGATGAGTTATCTTGTTACTTGGTTGCTGAAAAGACTCTTAGGACGAAGTAGATTCTCATAGCTGCTAACACGTTGGCTTACTCTGTCAAATTTTTTTTGTGGCAAAAGATGCCAAAATCGCCACAACTTATGTCACCTCTGGGCAGATTCCGTAGCTGCAACGAACTATTGAATCATTCAAGAATCTCACCCGTAGTTTTTTTAGCGGTGCGCTGTAGGCGCCTGGATTAAAAGCCATTACGTAATTTCTTTGATCGTGGTTTTCATTTTTTGCTTAGTTTCGTTTTCGCCTTCTGTTAGCTTTTGATAATTAGTCTTTTATTGTATGTTTTTTTGTTTGTTTTGTATGTTAGGTCTTATTTGCATTTTGTCATTTGGGTTTCTTTAATTATTTTTTGTTAGTTCACGTTTGAATCATCGTCAGGTCAGGTTTAGTTTGCGTCTGTTTGAGTTGAGTTCAGGTTTATTTCTGCGTGATTAAGTCACACTAGCTTTGTTTCGTTTTGCTTTGTTTCGCTTCGATCGCTTCGCTTCGATCGCTTCGCTTCCTTCTTGCTTCGTTATACTATGTTTGATTCGATCGTTTTGCTTTCGATGGTAAAAAAAATAAATATAAGGGCGTAAAGACATCGGGTTGGTTATTTAACAAAGTTTAACCGTTGTTAACAAAACCGCGTTGTAAACTATCTTAAATTTAGCTTAATCTTTTATCCGAAAATTTGTTTTTGCGAACAGTGTCAAGAGGGCCGAAAGCTAGCAGTTAAAGGATATATATTTCATGAAAACAACTCTCTTATAGAGAATCCCAGAGGCCCACTGCTTGCGAGAAACCGCGGTTTGGGCTAGACCTCGTGTAAATAACCGGCCCATTGTGACTACAAGGCTTTTAAGGGAACCTCGTTAAGACTTTTCAACTCTATCCTTGGATGTTGAATGCCACGATTTGTTTTTCTTACACGAAACAGATACTGGATTGGAATTGTAGCTGGGACACCTGACTCCAACTTCTATGAAGATGTGAAAACCTGGGTGGACAGTATGGACAATCGACTATCCAAATATGGTATCTTCCCATATGGCCCTGAGGCGGAAGAAGAACATGAAAGAATCAGGGCGTTGAAAGTCAAATACGATCCCGAAAACGTCTTCCATCACAACTTCAATATCGATCCAAAAAAAGGGATTCAAAAGGATTAACTGTAGCACAGCCCTTTTTTGTTTCCGCACATATCGCTGAATATAGTGCAGTGACTTAACTAGAATGACGTTAATTGTGGCTCTCCATTAAGATGGCATAATATGCAGATATATTCTACAGTTTTCGGTGGATATTTGTTTCACGTTTGCCATTTGCCTTCTTGCACTCAAGAGTATACTTTTAAGAATATCGTGAATCGATGGACAGTCTCAAAAAATTGGATTTCTAGTTACCTTTACTCGACGCGAAAAACAGAATAATATACCCTTTCACTGAAGGCGTGAAAGAAAAAATATGAGTCGGGACAAGCTTCTTTTTCATCAGCCAAACATTACAACTCTAGTTACTCTCAGTGATGCTCGTTCACCATCGCGGCGTTCAAACTTTGGAATAGTTAACGCGCAAATATGAGCTGTTATGAACTATCTACTTAAGGTGGCTCAATGAAGTTTTAGCCTGATTACGATGCGCACGTCGGCGTTGTGTTTTCATGGAAAATCTTTGAAGATCTTCGCTAGAAGAAGACTATAAGTATGCTGTCGAAACGTCGTGATTCACATCCGAAGTGACAACATCGTGAGACAAACGATTGTATTCTCTTTTGAAAGTGTTATTTACCGCGATGAAAAACCGCAACCTATTTTACGAGATCACTAACTGTTACCAGAATTTAGTAAACAAAGGTTGAACTAGAGAAGTATGTTTTTATTCGTCTTGTCACGAGCGTAGGACTGTTGTTAATATTCACATAGAGGTTTCTGTGTTTGAGCTTAAGCGCTGCAAAGGAAGGTGCTCACCAGCGGTAATTTGGCTTTGATTTTGATTTTCTCAAATACGCTTCGATGAAATATTCCACAGTTTTTACAATTTGTGACATTTGTCCTGCCGATCTTTTGTTTACTTAGAAAAAAATATGGGGTTATAAAGGTATAGTTTCTTCGCTTCTTGCATATTTTTTCCTCCTCTAACTTAGCATGGGTCTCATGAACTTCTCATTAATTAGCGGTAGATAGAGCACAAATATGTTAAACGCTCAATTAAATGTTAGGAAATTCTACAGAAGGAAACACGATGAATTCCACTCAAATATTTTACGTCTTTCTCTCAAATCATTATGTCATTAAATTGGAATTCGCCAAGATCGATTTTTGAGCATACGCAAACGTTCGAATCTGTAGCCCTTCCGCATTCTTTCGCCCGGTGTTTTCTTTTCTGTTGACCCCTTTTTCAGGTGAAGAAGACTCATGAATTTATTATGGGTATGTTGCTGATAAACCCTAGAGTTCATTACTAGAAACTGCATTGTCTTATACACCTTTTGAAATAACAATCGTGCGATCATATCGAGCTGCCAGTTTTGTTGACATTCCCAAAGCCCGCGCTATGTTCGCATCCATATCTCGCGCGGTCAAAACCCTACGGAGCCTCCTTACAGAGGGATCTAGCCGCCTCTTGCGTACAGCCCTAACTTTTGTATACAATAATTATTTTTATTGATGCAATGATTAACACAAGTACTTAGAACCTTACAGACAAACGGAAGTTTAGGCCCGTGTTCAAGGCAACAAGGTGACAGATTTACCACTTTTAATACCCTTAAAGCCTATACCATTTTATTGGAATTTTATATTTAATCGACATTTTATTTACAAACATAACCGATATACAAACAAATTTTTTATACAAACTTGCTTTAAACCACTGATAGTTCCTTTTAATGGTATTATTGATATTGTCTTTTGTAAAAATCGTGTAATTCAAGTTTTTAGTCGCAAGTTATCAATAAACTGCATATCACTTCTCTATCTATCGATTACAATTAACTTATCAATTTGTATTTCTTATTTCTTAAATTTTATTAAACGTTGTTAACCTTGATTATATCTAATTATTATACAACTACTCACTGGTGGTTATTTACCGAGCCGCAAAGTGGCGAGAGAATAGAGTAGTATTGCTTTCGGTTTTTATATTTTCTGCTGAAGTTTGTCGCATCATGCTCATCTAGCATTGGTCGAGCATTGTTACTTAATTCTGTGAGTGTCAGAAACGATATAAAATCTTTGACCATCGATGCGTCTTTTCCGATAAACATTTGAAAGACCGGACCAACACTCAGCTTCTTAAAATAACTGAGGAGAATGTGCTGCCTTTTCCATGACATCTGCAGTGGTTAAATATCCTAGTCTTCTCGGATAAGGACGATAAACCTCAGGCTTCGTCTACAGTTAGTTAGGAGGGGAAGTTAAAGAGCCCACGCACTTCTCGCAAAGAGTAAGGAACGTAGCTCCCGCCGCTGTTGTCTGGCCTTGATTCCGAGATTAGGGGCATTTACATTCGTTGTCTTTAAAACATAGTGAAGATGCCTTATTCTTTTAATTGCATATAAGGTAAAGGCAATATTTTTACAAACGCTCTGTATATGACAATTCCAGTTTAAGTTTTGATCACTATGTACCCACGCAAAGCGATTTCGTGGAAGGAACCTGCATCACTGGATGGTCATGTATCATGAAATATGGTATTTCAGAGATAGTTGGTAGCCCCTGCCTCGATGCAAGTAACATGAATTCAATTTTTGTTAAGTTAAGGGTGAGTTTACTAGCAGCTAGCCATAGGTGGATCCTATATTGAAATCGTTTATCATCAATACGCTGTAAGTCTCCATTTGCATGGTTTAAACTAGCGTCGTCAGCATACAGACTAGGTTTTGAAAAAAGTAAGCACTTTGGCAGGTCATTGATGCATAACCGAAATAGTAAAGGTCCTAGACTTAATAGTGCCCTGAGGAGCACCATATTTCACTAATTTAGGACTGGACATCAAACAGTTAGTTTTGCAGTTTTGCAGTCGTGACAGGGACCGCGTAAACCATAGTAATGTAATTTCTCCAACAATATATCATGGTTAACGGTGCCAACAGCTTTTTTCAAGTCTAAGAAAACAGTGGCATTGACGTGACCACGATCAATGTTCATTGCTCAACTGTCCGTAGCCTCAAGCAAAGCGGTTACAGTAAATGTAAAGAACGAAAACCAGATTGGTAACGGGAAAGAAGATGATTTTTGGTTAGATATTGATAGAGTTGATCATAATGATTCTAGCCTTCGAATACTTTCGCCACGGTGGGGTTTACCGAAATTGGTAGATAATTCGTGGGGTCATTTCGTTCTCCAGAATTTTTACGTAATGGAGTTCCACTCTTGGGGAACAGTTCATGTAAGCGATTCAGCGACTAAATCTAAGCAGTCTCCGAGCAATTTTGCCGAGATGCTGTCTAATCCAGTCGCTTTTGATCTACATAGTTTAAAAAAGAGAAACAGAACTTGCGTAAAAGAAATTTCTTAGAAGACGAACTCTTTAGAAGTTACTCAAAGAAAATTTAAGAAGGGTATGTCGACATTTGTTACATCTTTAATTAGGCTTGGGCCAATTTCAGTTCGACAAAATAAGCCTCCAGCATCTCGGCAGCTTCTACTTGATTGCTTGATGTTGTTCTTGCTATTTTTCTTCATTAAGCAGTGTTTTGTTGGACTTACGTGATGTTGATTTATTGTTAGTTTTCCAGTTCATGCGCTGGTTGCCAGTATATTTGTTAAGGGCGTTGTGGAATAATAGGCAGCAATCATTTTCTGATTTAATTGATTTTTTTTACTTTTCGAAATTCATTCCAAATAGACATGTTCTGGGTTTTGATAGCTTTTTTCTTGAGTCGGTCTCTGAAAGTCATTCTCTTTTTAACTCGTGAATTGCGCGCATGCGCATGAGCGAGTTGTAGGTATGATGTTGAGAATGGCACTCGCTCGCTTTTTTCGTTTTAGTTTCAACAAGCGGCGCAAGCGACTGGCAGGCGTGCAAGGATTCACACTGAAATAACATAACAACCTTCGTTTTTCATAAAATTGTAATTTTCAATCCTTGAACTTGAAAACAATCCGAAGATTCATTAAAAATATCACTTACTCCGAAGCACTCGGAGTTTACAGGTGTTCCAACCGATAAGACTGCTGAGTGTTCACGTATTACGTGATTTACGTTAGATCGACTATAGAGGGACACTTCCCCGCCAAGTCTCCCAATGACTACCCTGTCAGTGCCCTGAAATTCTTCGTTTCTCGCTTTGACTTTGTGATATTTTAGTTCGCATTATCCTAGGTTCCTACGACTGGTCATTATAGACTTGAAAATGAACACTGAAGCAGTTTTGAAGTTTTTATTGACAACTTTATTGGGTGACGTATCTAATGTTATGTAATTACATTCATACAAAACAAAGAAAATCAAATATAATGTATACATTGTAAAAACTCGCATCAGCTCAAATTGATCTGTTCTAGATTATTTTAGGTTACTTACTTATCAAAAAAATAGAACAATTGAGTTCCAGGATAGAAAACTCTAAGAACAGCAATATCAAGAAAGGACATTTCCCCCGACTGAGAATATAAAATTTCCTCAGGTCTAAAATTAGCTTCTCGCTACAATTGTTCAACTACTTAGCTTAAAGTGTTTTTCTAGATTATTTTAGGATACTTCCTTATCAAAAAATAGAACAATTGTGTTCCAGGATATAAAACTCTAAGAACAACAATATCAAGAAAGGACATTTTCCCCGACTGAGAAAATAAAATTTCCTCAGGTCTAAAATTAGCTTCTCGCTACAATTGTTCAACTACTTAGCTTAAAGTGTTTTTCTAGATTATTTTAGGTTACTTACTTATCAAAAAATAGAACAATTGAGTTGCAGGATATAAAACTCTAAGAACAACAATATCAAAAAGGACATTTTCCCGGACTGAGAATATAAAATTTCCTCAGACCTGAAAGTAGCTTCTCGCTCTATTTGTTCAACTACTTAGCTTTAAGTGTTCTTCTAGATTATTTTAGGTTATTTACTTCTCAAAAAATAGAACAATTGACCTCTAGGATATAAAACTCCAAGAACAGCAATATCAAAAAGGTATATCCTCCCTGACTGAGAATACAAATTTTCTTCAGATCTAAAATTAGCTTCTCGCTACAATTGTTCAACTGCACGAAATAGTAACACATCAAACTAGCTTTTCCGGTTTTCCCAAAACTTAAGTAAGGACCAATCATTATTTGTCACGGAGGGAGGGGGGGGAGGTCATATGGTTTTGGGGGAGGTCATATGGTTTTTGGGGGGGAGGTCATATGGTTTTGGGGGGAAGAAAGAGGGATTCAGTGGTCGCCAACAAAGTATGAAGGGGCGGGATTTTTATAGCTCAAATACAGGATTTTAGTCTAAAATATTTTATCACAATGTATATTTTACTTTATCACTTGGAAGGTGGTATTTAAAGCAGTCATTCTTAGTATGAACTTTAACAAAGCCTCCCTATGTCGTTTTATCGCGCGGTTGTTATTTCAAAATGGTTTTGTGCTTGGGCGAGTTGGGTACTACTGATTACCACAGTGTCTACATCTTAGTGAGTGACTCATTCGCATATCGGAGTCCCCTTAAAAACTCGTTTGCACGAGTTAAAAGGGAAAAAATTCCAAGAGAAAATTGTGTGTTCTTTTTTGATACTGAGTTTGGAACCAAAAAAAATATTCGTATTCTTACACCCAGGAATCAATGGAATGGTCACTGGATGACTTATCGAAATCACCGAATGAAGGCTGGGGTTCCTCCATGCTTTCTGGAAATGAGTTGTGGGGAGATGTTCCTCTGAAATTAAGCCCCGGTTCAGCATGTTGACTTAGTATTTGACAAAGATGTGTAAGAGGGTCAGGTAGATTTGTCGTTGGGGCTTCCCTCCTCTCTGATTTTTGGCTGAAAAGCCTCTTCCATGACAACCACGAGGTAAAAAAAAAAAGAGCGGTAAACAGTACGGCTTTGAATATTCCATCTGCGGTTTCTCTGCCATTAAACGATTGTCCGGCAAAAATCACAACAATTGTTGAAAATATGAGAGCCAGAAAACTAAGTACCCAATTTCTACGTAAAGATGGATGTATGCTTTCATCAAATTGGGTTTTTCTAGTGCCTACGTAGCCGCCGACTATATAATTGAAAGAAGAAATAACAAGACATAATGCTAGTGCAATTGTCAAACCCCAAATTGGGTTAAGCATTATGCCGATGAGCATCCAACAGGAGAAGAAACAGGTATAAATAACACTTAAAGGGGCAAGTAGTTTCTGAAACCACATAAAGCCGCTGTTCATCTGACCTGGATCAGAGCTCCTAAAATTATTCCAGATGTCCCTCACTCTTTTTGAGAGGGGAGTAATAAAATACAAAACGGGAATCAAAACAAGTAAGATATCCAGGTAGAAAAGTGGTCCGTCTCTCACAGAGAAATAAATTACAACAGATAAAAGTATCAACCAGATAAATGAACCAGGTACTCCCACCAAAACACTTAAACATAGCATAGCCTTATATTCAGGGCTATTTGTTACCTTCAAAAGCACCACATATCCCACTATCATCCCATAGAGTGGATCGAAAGCTGCACAGGTGGAGCAGAAAGAACCCCATATCATTATTCTGATTTCGAGACTTCTTCCTGTAGCTTGCATATCTGTACCATGGCCCTCGATAACACACTCTGCATTGTTTAGTTCTGGATTCCTTATTCCTGGTGAAGAGGCCAGATCTTGAAGCTGAAATGAGCACCAACAAAGATTCAGAAAATAATTCATCTAATATGGCAGCATCAGTAACCATAGCAACCTAGCCGCTTGTCTGCAACCTACAAGGTACAAAGTTTCACTTCTCTATTTCCAAACTCTTGGCGATCAGTTTAAACGGTTGCGATAGGTATTCATAACCCTTCTAAGAGTTTCATTAACGATATTAAATTATTTAGTATAACGGAGGCGATTGCTTTTGTCGCAGAGAGCATTGCTTGTGATGAATGCTTACTCTCAGAGGATTACGAATACTCATTTCGGCTTGGGTTAAGCAGTTTTGAGTCGGGGTTTCTTAGAGATAAAAAAAAAAAGAAAAAAATCATTGTTCATACCGCAGCGAGGACATTTTCAATCATATCGTTTATCGTCTTCTTTCTTTCATCCTCTGTTTTCGACACATTGCAACAGAAATGTGGAATTGTTAAGTTCAATTCTTTTGTCCGATGTCTGACAAGGATTGATCCGAGTGACACAATTTTCAGGAAGACATCAGGAATAGCAACATACAGACAAGATACGCTCCAAGTGTACCTTGCAATGGGTGAACCTGTTTTGTTGGGACCATGTAAATTCACAAACACACGAACAGAAGAGGGTCTCTTGGCTGGAAATAAGGCAGACTCAATGTTAAAACTGTTATCTGACTTTGTTAAACTGTGATAAAGCTGCTCATATGTATGAATGCATGAGAGTGAACTGGCGGAGTTGTCGCAAGTGTCACTAAATTCTGCTTGAACGTTGTGATGATCGAAGATTAGCACCACTTGAATAAGAGTAGTCACAACAGCCTTGATCAACGGATTGGACATGTTAGAATATCAAGCTACCTCGTTTGAAAAAGTCGGTTGGTATTTTCTATAACAAAATAAAGTATTTCATATCTTTAGTAAAATAATGCTAATAGGCAAACTTTTCCCGCCAGTGGCAGGAGACTCTTGACTAAAGACTCTTTTAGTGCTGCAGTCTTTGGGTTTTCTATATAGTTACTAGGTTTTCCAGTACACAATTCCACTTACATTCAAGCTTATTTCATTCTGTGTAACTCTTGTTAATCTCTCAGACTCTCACACTTTTGATTCTCACTGGATACTTCTCCTTCAACTGCAGAATTCTGACTCTACTCTACTGCACTCTGTCTACATTCTTCTAGTCTTCTCTCTATTTTCTCTCTTCTCTTTTCTCTCTTCTCCCCATTCTCTTCTCCCAGCCTCTTCTAAGTAAAATCTAAAGAATATGCCTATATATTCACTTCTGATAGATATGGGTGGGCATGCCAGCTGGCTGACCTTGGGAGATCAAACAGCTGTTGTTGGAGCGCTAAACCAAGCACTTGGGATCTGAACAACAAAGTACTTAAGAGGACATCCGTGCACAAATTTTTATGGCAAGGGTCAAAAATTCAAATTGTCTCAAGTTTTGCACACAAGTAGAACCTAGTAAGACAAGAAAGACTGTGTATTTTGTTCCTCAAATATGTTTTTATTTTCGAGAAAAACGAACTTTTCGCTTTCACCCTCTAGAATCGATGGATCGGGTCATAACAGGTCAAAAATTGAACACTTTCGCTCGCTTCGCATTTCAAAGATATTACGTCTTGGGAAATCTCATTAACGTGTGCTCTTCTATAGACTCTTCGTCTTCTGTAAAGCGTAAGTTGTGTAGGAATTGGTTGCTTAGAAGCTTTTAGGAATGATCTTTAAAATGACGTAAAGTTTTCTTTGAGCAAATGTTTTCTCGCGACGCAGGAAACTCTTCAAAATAGCACACGGAAGACATAAAATCACGCAATATGTAGATTGCGTGACCAAAGAATTAAGGAGCATTCCTGCCTTTGAAATTACTCAAAATCGTACAGGAGAACTTTTTCAAAAAAAAATAACATAGTTATACCCAGTTTTTTTAAATTACTTTGTCTTTTATCATTTGAAGCTTGTTTCTGCAGAGATATTCTGCCATCGTTCTGTCTAGTACGATTATGCACCAGTGCCAGTAACGGTATACGATTAAAAACTTTGCTGGTCTCTCGCATATGAATCTTAAGTTTCTGCCCCTTGTTTGACTTGCTAACCCGTGCCTTTTAACTAGCCTACGGTAAACGAAAATCAACAAAATTTTACCTTACAGAGGCCCATGCAAGAGTTAAGTGAGGGCTTGTGTGACCTAGTTTGCATAATTGCGGTACGAGTCGTTGTACTCGTGTGACAGAATAATTTACACCTACGAGTGGGGTCGGTCGACGGCATTTAAATAGGCACGAATACGAGGAAAGAAATAATAAGTCTAGATATCCATTTAGCTCTGAGTTTTCCTTAATTTGTACTCGTGTTAATTTCTTTTCCGCGTGAGTAAACTATGATGTTTGTTGACTTTTCTATTTAAAAGCGAGGCAATTACTTAAATTAACAGAACCTAATAAACATTGCTCCATTCGATTTTTCTCACGTGAAACTCAGAAAAATAATTATTTCCCGTATTTAAGTATTTTTTTACGAAGTACATAACTGGAACCGAGGCTCACAATTTCAAAACGAGGTTATCAGTCACGCAACTCCAAAAAAGAAAAAAAACAGTCACGACATTATTTGCCCACGATTTGTAGTCATTTTTTCGATCATGGGAAGGAAGAGCTCCATGTCAAAGTTAACTTTCACTGAAAGTCATTTTATTCGTCATCGTTGTTGTCGTCATCGTCTTCATCATAATTGTCGTTATTATCATCATAAACATCATCAGCATCATTATTATTATCATTGTCGTTATCATTACCGTTATCGTTTTCATCACTGTTTCTTCTATTACCATTGCACAGGTATCTGTAGAAAATACAGAGAGAGTTTTGAAAGCAAGTCACAGATTGATCAGCTAACGCTTACAGTCAAGGATCTAAAGATGGTGAACAATCTAATCGTGATAGCAGCCCTAGAAGAAACTGCACCTGGGAAAGCTGAAATCCTCTTGAATAAACTAGTGATATCAAACGACGTCGCACAGACAGAGTACCAAGTTGCTACAAGAATGCGAGCCACTGGAGCACACGTAGGAAAATCCTATCCATTGTTACTGACAAAGTTAACTATCAAACGTTACAGAGTTGGATTCCTGGTCTAACACGATATAGATTTAATGTCGCCAGGCAACACGCTCACATGTATGGAGGAGGTGCTGAAGTTGAAACTCGTAGTGTGCCGAGGATGTATGTCTCAGCCACACAGCTCAACCACTTCCTTGACTTCATCACAAGTGAACACATTATCCAAGAACTTCCATTTGGTGAAAGGACATTGAAATTATCATCCGACAAGAAAATAACAGTACCCAAAATGACCGTCGAGTGACCATACCTGCAATTATGCTAATTAGGTCATGCAAGCCCTCAGTTAGTCCACTTAACTCCTGCAAAAACCTCCCTTTGAAAACTTTGTTAGTTTTTATCGAGTGCTGGCTAAAAGGCACGAGTAAGCACATATAGAAAGTTAAACAATGGGCAGAAACTTAAGATTCGTATGCGAGAGACCAGCAAAGTCTTTAATCGTATACCGTTACTGGCACTGGTACCAGATAGAACGATGGCAGAATATCTCTGCAGAAACAAGCTTCAAATGATAAAAGACAAAGTAATTTAACAAAACTGGGTATAACTATGTTTCCATATCTATGTCATCGAACAAATCAGATATACTAGTTTCACTGGCAGCCATTTTAAAGTTAAACTGAATTATCAAGTACAAAATTTCGTCCTATAGCCACCATCCTGTTATACGACAATCACGTAATTTGAAATCAACGGCATCAATGACTCATTTCCTCAGGAAAGTCCCTGTTGTAATGCATGATTGATTTCCTGTTTTTCTGAGAATGTCATGCAATGGAAAATGCTCTGAGATCATATGACTAGTCGCTGATGAAATCAGATACATTGACATACCCTTGTCTAAAGGAAGTCCTGATTTAACTAGCGGAAGGTACCTTCAAGTAGAGTAGATATTTCCACGCGATCCACCTCAGCATGTAGCCAAACAGGAATCTTAGGATTTAAAAACGTTGGCACATTTATGATAACGAATGACAGAGCCAGGGGGAGGAGTACAGATCACATGATATGTTTGTGTATGTATCACGCCTTATTTTTATCCGTATCCAGTCGTTTCGCGGACTTTTGTACTCATGGGCTGTGTTTTCACTAGG